CACTACCACGCCTGGCTAATTTTTTGATTTATTGTAGAGACAAGGTCTCACCAAGTTGCCTAGGCTGGTCTTGAACCCATGGGCTCAGGCAATCCTCACCGCAGTCTCCCAAAGTGCTGGGATTACAGGCTTGAGTCACTGTGCCTGGCGAGCTAATTTTTAAATTTTTTTGTAGAGATGAGGCCTTGCTATGTTGCCTAAGCTGGTCTCAAATACAGGGCTCAAGTAATCCTGCCTCAGCTTCCCAAAGCACTGGAATTACAGGTGTGAGCCACCATGCTCAGCCTGTTTTAATTATTTTAATGTAGACTTAATGACATAGCACCCCTAACTGCTTCAGCATTCATTTCCTAAAATCAGCATTCTCCTGTATTACCACTATTCTATTATTACAACTAAAACATTTTTTTTTTTTCGAGTTGGAGTTTCATTCTGTCGCCCAGACTAGAGTGCAGTGCCACGCTCCCAGCCACCGCAGCCTCGACGTGCTGGGCTCCAGCGGTCCTTCCACCTCAGCCTTCCAAGTAGCTGGAATTACAGGCGCGTGCTACCACACCTGGCTAGTTTTTGATTTATTGTAGAGACAAAGTCTCGCCAAGTTGCCCAGGCGGGTCTTGAACCTGCGGGCTCAGGCAATCCACTTGCCTCGGCCTCCCAAAGTGCTGGGATTACAGGCCGAGCCACCGAGCCCGGCCACAACTGAGAAAATTAATTTCCTCGTATCATCAATCAATCCAGTTTGTATTCAGGCTTCCCTGATTTGCTCCCCAAATGTCTTCCTGTTGTTTTGGAACCAGAGTCCAATAAAAGTTTGTGCACTGCATTTGCTTATGTCTTAGTACCCTCTTATATTCTGCAGTGGTTCTCCCAGTCGTTTTTTTTAAGACATTGACTTTTTGAAAAGAGCAGGTCAGTTGTCTTGTAGAATATCTCAGATTCTGTGTTTGTCTTAAGATTTCCTCATGATATCATTTACTATGTTCCTCTATCGGTTGTATTTCCAGAAATTGGGAGGTAAGTCTAAAGGCTTATTTAGATTCGGGTTAAGTATTTTTGGCAAGATACTTCATAGGTGATGATCTGTGATTCATATTGTCTCACAACAGGAATATGTCCCTTTTTTAGATTGTGGTAAAATACATATAAAATTTACTAAGCTAACCACTTTTAAGTATATAGTCCAGTAGTGTTAAATATATTCACATTGTACAGCAGTTCTCCAGAACTTTTTTATCTTGCAAAACTGAAACTCTATACCCATTGAGAAACAACTCCCGCCAGTCTGGGCAACTTGACGAGACCTCGTCTCTACAATAAATCAAAAAATTAGCCGAGCATAGTGGTGGATGCCTGTAGTTCCAGCTACTTGGAAGGCTGAGGCAGAAGGATCACCAGAGTTCAGCAGGTCAGTGCTGGGGTGGCCGTGAGTGTGCCATTGCACTCCAGCCTAGGTGACGGAATGAGACTCCAACTCAAAAATTTTAAAAAAGGTTGCAGAGCAGTTCATTCTGTGAATATGCCATTTCCTTAGAATAGGTTCTAGTTTCTGACTGCTGTAAGTAATAATTGCAAAAGGATTGCTTTTCCTATCTTTGACCCAGTGCTTTAGTTGGGCCCAGTCTTTATGGGAGCAAAGGAGTATACTCTCTTGAGAGGAGAGTACTGAGCACTGAGTGATTAGGGGATATTCCTGCCCCTCTCAATGTCTCCTTTATCCTTCTTCCTCTCCTCTCACCTTAACTTTCCCTCCTCTGCTTTGTCCCCTTTCCTTAGGTAAGTCAAATCTCATGGATGCCATCAGCTTTGTGCTGGGTGAAAAAACCAGCAACCTGCGGGTAAAGACCCTGCGGGACCTGATCCATGGAGCTCCTGTGGGCAAGCCAGCTGCCAATCGGGCCTTTGTCAGCATGGTCTACTCTGAGGAGGGTGCTGAGGACCGCACCTTTGCCCGTGTCATTGTAGGTAGGTGAGGCTGACCAGAAGGCTCTCCTTGGGTTCTGGGAGGTGGCTAGACTAGTTGGTTGGGATAGGAGGAGGGCTTGACCCTTGCTGACTCATACATTGTCTTGTAGGAGGTTCTTCTGAGTACAAGATCAACAACAAAGTGGTCCAACTACATGAGTACAGTGAGGAATTAGAGAAGTTGGGCATTCTCATCAAGGCTCGTAACTTCCTCGTCTTCCAGGTAGGCAGTTTGAACCATTATTGGCTAACTGTTTTTCGTCATACTTTGTCCCATGGGTAGGGGCACAGCAACTTGTATTTTACCAAGCTCTCCTGCTTATTATGATGCCTGCTGAAGTTTTAGAACCATTGCCTTAGGGTGAAATCCAAAAAGCCTGTCATTCAGGAAACACCATCCTTTGGTTCTTGCCCATCTTATTAACTTCATCTGCCAATGCTTTCCCCTTGCATTCCTTAGTTTAATTAAACCATTTATGGTTCCCTTAATTCACCTGCTTTCTTTGGCCTGCAGGCCTTTGCATGTTAACTTTCCTCTACATGGAATAACCTGTTTTATTTTCTTGGATAGTTTTTCTCCATCTTCTGAATTCAGCATAGATATCAACTTTGGGAAGCTTTCCCAGATAGACATCCCTACTAACTTCCTACTCTCAAGCTTCATTTAGTCCTTTTTTTTTTGCTGCTTCTGTCACTGCACATAACACATTGTATTGTCTTTGTATCTGTCTCTTTGGCTCCCTGTGCTCCTCAAAAGGTAAGGAATGTGTCCTCAAAGCCCATTGTGAAATGTAGCATCTAGTGTTGGGAGGAGTATTATGAATTTTTCTGGATGAATGAATCGGAGTGAATGGGAGAACTGGGATGGCTGGTGTCTAAATGGGAAAGTATTTTGACCTTTACTAGGGTGCTGTGGAGTCTATTGCCATGAAGAACCCCAAAGAGAGGACAGCTCTATTTGAGGAGATTAGTCGCTCTGGGGAGCTGGCCCAGGAATATGACAAGCGAAAGAAGGAAATGGTGAAGGCTGAAGAGGACACACAGTTTAATTACCATCGCAAGAAAAACATTGCGGCTGAACGCAAGGAGGCCAAACAGGAGAAAGAGGAGGTAGGTGACTAGGCTACCTCTGGCTCTGAAGGACCAAGATGGAACCAGTGCCTTACTGATGCACCCTGCCCCTATTCCCCTGTTTGTACAGGCTGACCGCTACCAGCGCTTGAAGGATGAGGTGGTACGAGCTCAGGTACAGCTGCAACTCTTTAAGCTTTACCATAATGAAGTGGAAATTGAGAAGCTCAACAAAGAACTGGGCTCTAAGAACAAGGAGATTGAGAAAGACAAAAAGCGTATGGACAAAGTAGAAGATGAGCTGAAGGAAAAGAAGAAAGAGCTAGGCAAAATGATGCGGGAGCAGCAGCAGATTGAAAAGGAGATCAAGTAAGAGGCAGACCTGGGCCTGCAATTTGTGGGAAATAAACTATGCTGTTCCTTAAGACTCCTCTGAGCCGAGTCCAGTACTTATACTAGTTTCCCTGTTTTCCCCTTGATTTGTTTTGGCCACAACCAAGCACATTTCTTGACTTGCATTACAGACAAATAGAGTATTTAGATACTCAGAAGAGGGTGAACTTGAAAGGGAGATTTGCCTTGCCAAGGGAGAGGAAGTAATGGAAGGCCCCACCAGTGAGGTGGCTGGGAAGGCCTTCCTAGAAGAGGAAAACTGAGCTAGACGTTTAAAGGACAGGAATTTTTCTTTTTTTTAAAACTATGTAAGTCTCACTCTGTTGTCCAGGCTGGAGTGCAGTGGCACATTCACGGCCACTGCAGCCTTGACCTGCTGGGCTCAGGTGATCCTTCTGCCTCAGCCTTCCAAGTAGCTTGAACTACAGGTGCACGCCATCATGCCTGGCTAATTTTTTTTTCGAGTTAGAGTCTCACTCTGTTCCCTAGACCGGAGTGTAGTGGCACGCTCATGGCCATCACAGCCTTGACTTGCTGGTCTCAGGCGATCCTTCTGCCTTAGCCTTCCAAGTAGCTGGAACTACAGACATGCGCCACCACACCCGGCTAAGTTTTGGATTTATTGTAGAGATGAGGTCTCACCAAGTTGCTCAGGCTGGTCTCAAACCTGTGGGCTCAGGCAATCCTCTCGCCTCGGCCTCCCAAAGTGCTGGGATTATAGGTATGAGCCACTGTGCATGGCCTAAAGGACAGGAATGTGAAAAGGTTAGATCAGGTAGAGGATAACTAATCAAATACAGGTTGTTCTTTGGAGTTGTTAATGAGAGGCCTAGCTGATGTTGAGGCAAGGATTGTAGCTTTGCCTTATGGAGTGGCTAGATATCTAGGCTGAAGCCATAGGTTCCAAGGAGTAGTCCACAAACTGCCCCTTTATTTCAGGATCTGTGTGGGGCATCAGGCCCTTGTTCTTTTAGGCAATTCCCTGAGACAGGCTCAGCTCCCTGTTTCTTTGGGTAAAAAGCCTGGGATCCCTCCCTTTCATAGTGCTAACTGGTTTCTCCCCTCCCTCTGGCAAAAGGGAGAAGGACTCAGAACTGAATCAGAAGCGGCCTCAGTACATCAAAGCCAAGGAGAATACCTCCCACAAAATCAAGAAACTGGAAGCAGCCAAGAAGTCTCTGCAGAATGCTCAGAAGCACTACAAGAAGCGTAAAGGTGACATGGATGAGCTGGAGAAAGAGATGCTGTCAGTGGAGAAGGCCCGGCAGGAGTTTGAAGAACGGATGGAAGAAGAGAGCCAGAGTCAGGGCAGAGATTTGACCCTGGAAGAAAATCAGGTAGACCCTGAAAGCGGTTGGCAGGGAGGAGATCACTGGGTTGACATGGGCTGACTTGGTTATCCCTGTCTTCTTTTCCTATTTCTAACACAGGTGAAGAAATACCACCGGTTGAAAGAAGAAGCCAGCAAGAGAGCAGCTACCCTGGCTCAGGAGCTGGAGAAGTTCAATCGAGACCAGAAAGCTGACCAGGACCGTTTGGACCTGGAAGAGCGGAAGAAAGTAGAGACAGAGGTGGGCAAAGAATTACAAGATTAGGGATGATGGTCCAGAGAATCGGAAGTACAGGTTGAGCATCCCAAATCCAAAAAAATCCCAAATCTGAAATGCTTTTGGTCCCAAGCATTTCAGGTGAGGGGATTCTCAACCTGTAATGATAGTCTTTTTGTCTCACTCTGTCGCCCAGACTGGAGTGCAGTGGCCGCTCCCGGCCACCGCAACCTCGA